ACTGTGCAGAATAAAGAAGCGGCACAGAGGCTGGAGATTATCTTGGCAAACAATGAATATTAACTACACTGCAAACAGGCCACAATAGACACTAGAGGATGAAAATATGTGCCTCTCGTTGGCTCTTATAGCCCTTTTTAACATCAATAATCCAATTTTATATGCTGTAGCAAATCTTTACAGTTGCATTTGGCACAGAGTGCTTTAGGGCTTTTGTCCAGCGAGAATGGGAGAACAGAAAAACCTCAGAAAAAAATGATAGTATAAGGGGACAAAATGAAACTTGCTTCATCCTTCAAGGAAAATAATGGAGCAGCCATCCTGAGTACCCTATAACAGGGCTCTTCAAATCTGGACCTCCATTCCAAATCCAGGCCTTGTTTTCAGTTCTCCCAGGTAGTTAGTTTAATAATTACTGATTCTGATTGGTCAGAGGCTACACACCTGGCTTACAGGTAAAGGAAGTGCTCGGACCTTGAGGACCGTGATTTGAATAATAGGGCCCTATAAAGTGCATTGATTGACTTGCAGTTGCCCCCTGCAGGTGCGGAATGGAAGCACAGCTGATGCCCCGTTGCTGGGGAAGTTCTGCGGGTCGGCGCTGCCCGGCCCGGTTTTCCCCAGGTCCAATTGGCTCTTCCTGCGTTTCAAGAGTGACTTCTCTGAAGTACGCGATGGCTTTGAAATAACGTGGACTTCCTCCCCACAGGGTAAGAGGAGGGCGTTGGTGCTGTCAATCAGAATGAGGAGGCGGGGCTTACATACATACAGTACTGTATGGCCAATCAGTGCAAAGGGGAGAGGTGTGATATTCAGCAAGTTGTCAGACATAACAAGCAGGACTTAACAGGACAATTTTCACAATGAGGAGTGGTGAGCTCTGAGCCAATCAGAGTCATGAGATCACATAGGCACATTCAGTCATCTATCAAAGCACATGAACTAGGGCGTAATCACAACCTATACAGGACTAGAGAAACCCTCATTAAGTCCCAGTCAGTGAGACGTCCTTGCTGCTCTGTCGTCTGAATGCCACCATGACCAGTCACTCTCTGTCATCGCTCGAGTTCATTTTATAAGGAATGAAAATGCAGCTGCCCCCACTCAACCCAAGACACACAGCCTAATTAGTGTCAAGCAAACATTAATTTCCATAAGCGTGATCTCCCCCTGCCCAGGTGACCCTTAATATCTGTAGGATACTCCCCGACCGCTATCTGAATATCATGGTTATTTACCGAGCCTAATCTGGCCAGCTGTTCCAGTTCGTCTCGTATCTGTGCAGCCAGCAGCTTGCTGTACTTCTTTTTTTAACGAATAAGCCAATTCCTGCATCGCCTTGGATTCTGGAAAAGCTTGTGGGTCACTAGAAGACATTGTAGTTGGATAGACCCATAATGCTCCTCTTCAGATAGAATTCACAGCTTCGTTGCGTATTGATTGCTTATTAACCAATGAGAGAGCTGCCTGACTTGCATGTGACTCTCCCCAGGATGCGGAGGCATGTTGTACGGAGACCACGGCTCCTTCACCAGTCCTGATTTCCCCGGGACCTACTCCAACGGCAGCCAGTGTGAATGGACCATCCAGGCCCCGGTAGGCCGCGTGGTCACCGTCACCTTTGTCCAGTTCAGCATCGACGACCCTGGCGACTGTCAGAACAACTACCTCAAGCTGTACGACGGGACAGATACCAGCAGCCCCCCCATCGGACCATACTGTGGAGCGGTACGTGTGGGACGCAAGTCACCCACCCCCGTTCGTGTGTCACTTCCTAGCCTAGCATGATTCTGACAACGATGTCATGTTAAGTTTTATTGGCCGTCTGCCCGAGGTCAAAGGTTAAAGCTCCTTCTACCCATCCCTTTGTCACCCAGGAGACGAATATCGCCCCCTTCACGGCCTCCTCGAACAACGTCTTCATCCAGTTCCGCGCACAGTACGCCACTCTGCCTTCTGGGTTCAGGCTAACATGGAGCAGCTGAGAAGATGAGCGAACGAACGAATGAACGAACGAACGAACGAACAAATAAACAGACACCTGTCTTCTCATCTTTATCCCTCCATCTCAAAAATTTAAATGTAACCTGACCTCTCATAAATCTCTACAAATCAACCACATTTAAACATGTAAATTCTTCGGAATGAGAAAAGTTTACTTCTGATTGCAATGGATTTATATGTTATAAATAGTTTTTAAGCATGTAACTATATATTTTGTAAAGTGGAAAGTGTTATTGAAAGTAAAGTGCAATGTTTTCAATGTCCTGGACCTGTGTCCACACTGTTTCCTTATCCTTTTCTCATCCTACCTTTATTGTGTGGATGAGGTGTGGATGAGAAGAAATAAAAAAAAAAAAGATTCTTGGTACCGATATCCAAAATTGTTCAGTACTAGATAATTCAATGAATGTTTTGCTTGTGTAGGCTGGCAAATGAAAACCTGGGTCAATTTCCCATAATTCACTGGGACGATGGTTTGATGATCTTGTTGTATATTTAATGAGTTAATCTGTCCATCCATCCATCTATGTTGCAGTTGCGTAATGCTGATGGTTTGGTTTACCTGTAGAGGAATGTTGCTGCTCAGGGTTTGATTAGTAAGCCTGCGACATGGCAGAGAGATAGACAGAAGGCTGTAGAAATCAGAGCAGGCTGAACCAAGATGTGTCTGCATGCTCCTTCTCAGGGCTGAACAGCCCCCTTGTCAAAACAGCCGATTCCATCATTCACTGGAGCGGCTAATTCCGTGTCAGCATTGAAGCCGTGCTAACCCAGCCCCACCCCCAAGTGGACCTGGCCTGTCTGCGCTGATGGTCTGACTGCTCTGGGGGCTGACAGATCTGTGATGTACCATTGTAATTGGGGGGGGGGGGGGGTGAAATAGCACAGGACGGAGTCTGAGCGTTTTAAAAAACATTCCATTTAATAGCACGTTTGACTAATGCTGTTTTACATCTATCCATCCATCAATCCATCCATCCATCCATCTATCTATCCATAAACCTGACTTTCCCCAGCCCATACAGAGAAAGAGGGATTGCCGGAGCACAAGAGGAAGGAAAAAAAGACTGAGGATGAGAGAGAGAGTAAAAATTCCAGACAGAAAGGGAGAGATTCTGAGGTAGAGGGGACTGCTGGATCCCAGCAGCCAGCAGACATGCTGGTGTCTGACTGACAGGCGTATGTGTTTGGGAAGGCCGGGGGCAGCCTCTCCAGGGAGGAGCACTCGAGACGGGCGTTTGGGCATCGCTGGCAGGACAGCGACTATGAGGCACCCGGGGGCATACCGAAAAAACACAGGGATCGTCTTCGGCCGTTACAGACATACAAATGTAGGTTCTGTGGGGGGGGNGGGGGGTTATTTTACTATTGCTGCTTTGCCAGCACTATAGTCCAGAGCAGGGTACAATTTTGGGGGAAAAATTATACTGATGCGCCAGCTGCGATTCTAGCCACATCCACGGATGTTAGCCATCCTGTCCCAGGAACAATTGGCACAGGCAGGAACCAACCCTGGGCAGGCGCCAACACACCACAGGGCGCACACACAGTTATGGGGCCAACTTAGAGTCACCAATCAACCTGCCCTGCACACTTTTGGACTGTGGGAGGAAACCAGAGTCCCCGGTGGAAACCCACGCGAACGCGGGGAGAGCATGAAGGGTTCTACGCCACGCAGAAAGGTCCTACCTCTGACCCGGGCACCGGACCCAGGACCTCCTTGCTGTGTGGCTGCAGTGCTAACCACTGCGCCACCGCGCCGCCCCACATCTTGTAGATATGCATGTAAATAACTAGTGTATTGACAACGCCTGGGAGAATGCTACAGTTCATATGGGTTGTGTTTAGTCTGTGTCTTTGTGTTGCAAAGGCTGTAATGGTTCCTAACAGTAAGGCAGCTTCAAATACGATTTGTTTTAGGGGTCAGAATCCACTACAAAGGCCATCATCAATAGTGAGGCCTCCGACAGACATGTTGTAGGGGAGTTGATCATTTTTAGATTATCACCGCAACAGCACAGAATGTGTCTGCCCTAGATGAGCTAAAGCAAACAGCCAATCCCCCCCCCACCACCACAAACACTTCTTGTTTGTACAGTTGGTTATCAGCGGCCTGGGTGAGCAGGTTAACGATTCCCCAGTACAAACTGCGAGAACCTGATCTGTTTAAACTTCAGCCTCCAAAAAGGCAAAGTTCATCACTTATGGGGGCATCCTGGTGAATCTGAGAAGCAAGCAGGTCCCAACTGACCAGAAAATTCAGAAAGCCGAGGCTATACAAGGAGGGATACCACTCTGGCCTTGAGGAGGGGACCCTGTACCACCGAATCCCGTATCGGTCCTCTTCCAGGATCACGGGACACGAAACCAGGCAAGGGTCACGGGGAGAGCTGGAGAGCCAAGGCTGGGAGAATGTGTCTACCACACAAAGTAAGGCTCAGCAGCAGGTACTGAGTGTGCTTCGGCTGGGAGAATGTGCTTCTCACTGGGGGCGGCTCCACTGACAGCCATTTTTTTCTATTGCCTATTTTTAGAGCACATGAAATATACAATATCTACAGAGATTTCAAGTATTTCGAAATTAAGAAAAAGACATGAACTGAGAAAAACACACAACTCTACACTGATCTGTAAGACAGGAGAATTTGGGGAAGTTGTGAATTAATGTCAAGGGTCTCCCATACATCATCATCATCATTATTATTATTATTAGTATTATTATTATTATTATTATTATTATTATTATTACATGCGTGTTACACATATTAACCATAAATTAAACTTTCGTTTAAAAAAATGTTTAAAAGTCGTGACAATGTTGCACTACGGAACATCTTTCCGTCACACCTTCCTTTGAAAAAAAAAGAAAAAAGGTCGCCTGAACACGCGCTTCGCCATTGGCCGCGACTGCTTGGTTTTTAAGCGGCTCTCCTGATTGGACGACCGCCGCATGCCTGTTCGGCCTCGCGAGCGAAGGAAGTGTCCTTTTATGGAGTGTGGAGAATTTTAGGGAAACAATCATCAACATCCGGTTGGGCTGGGCGTGTAGTGAGCGATATACCTTAATGGTTGAAGATCTGACAGCTTTTAAATCCTTAAAGTTGTCCCACTGTCGAATTTGTTTCGGTTGTGTATACAAACAGGAAGAGAGGGGTTAATATTTTCTTCTGCTTTTCTTGACTTGAGAAATGTTATGTGGGTTGCAGTTAACTTTTAAACGAGAGCGAACCCACAGGGTCTCCAAATTGCAGAATATATCCTGATGCTACACTTTGTCTTTTTGCTACATATCCCTGTTTAATCATGTCTCACGCTGAATTCTGCTTCCTTTGTAGAGAATGTCGAAATCTTTGAAGAAAATCGTGGAGGAGAGCCGGGAGAAGAACTTGCCTGAGGTGGACATGTGCGATCGTGGCATATCCAACTTGCTGGACATACCCGGACTGTGTAAGCGCCCGGGGTCCGTGCTGATACCGGTTTGCGGTTTAAAGGGATGCCCGATCGTCATATGTATTTTTGGCAGTTGCTGCGACGCTTGTTTGAGGCTTTCGCCGCAGGCAAGATAACGGAACAGCGTAAAATAAACTTTGAATAGGTTATTTTTATGCATTAGGACTGTTTAGTTTTCTTAAGGCACATGATAATAATAATGAAAAGAACAGATACTTTATTGATACTCCGGGGAAATTCTCACCAACTTGCTATCTGTAGGTGAGAGCAAGCTGGCCACCCATAGCAGCCATAGCATTTAAGGCAGTTAAGGGCCTTGCTCAAGGACCGGCAGACATGCTAAGACTTGAACTAGTGACCTTCAGATCACAGGCACAGAGACCTAGCCCACTGCCCTCCTGTGTACATTGCTTAGAACAGATATGCATGAAAAATAAATAAAAACCCAACTCAAAATAATGTGCCAAACAGACACATTTCCTGCTTTTAGGCAAGTCATAATCTGACTTTTGTTCCTTTTCCAGTCACCCTGTCTAACATCACCCAGCTGGTCCTGAGTCACAACAAGCTGACAAGTGAGTTTGTAAACGTCTGTGTCTTCATTGTGTTTCCCGTGAGCTTCTATTCTGGAGAGGGGGTGATTTTACTTCGTAGCTCCATGCTGCAGTGGGACCTAGAGCCATCAGTTTGGAACCTGTTTGAATTTACCAAAACCAACAAGGTGTAAACTGGGGTTACTTGTAAAATCTGCAAAGACAAGGTTCACACGTCTGATGGAAAAATGACAAACCTTTTTAACCACTTCAAAAGAAAACACCTGAATGTATGCTAAGTATGCTTATTTTTTAGGTTTTGTTTCCTTGTGGGGCTATATTTAAAATAAAAATAAGAAAACAGTGGAATTGATTTGATTATACTGTTCAGTAGCTTGCAAAATAGTCTTAAAAACCAGCATAAAAAGAATCCTGATAGTGTATTGTGATCCTGCCTGAAAAAAATCCTTTCTATATTGCCCACCCCTAGTTGTATGTCACTCCCTGCAATTCCCTCCTTAAAAATTGCCATTGACTGCCATTGCATTCCAAGAGGGCAGGGTGATTGGGCTGTATTTATTGTTTTAAAAATGTGACTGTGTAATTAGTGGCATTAAAGGGATTATGAGCATGGACCCAAACTGAATATGCAGATGGGCAGGTGAGACTTCATGCACACGCTAGTGGCCGCTAGTCCAGCCGGACCTGCTGCACTAGCCGAACTCTTCCTAGTTTGCGGATGCAATGCCAACGATGGCCACTAGAGGGTACGCTGGCCATGGCTGTGTTCAATGGCCATTGAACATATTGGAGAGGTTTTTCCGTCGATAGGCGGCATCAGCTGGGTTCAAGGGAACCTGAAGCTATGTGTGTCCCCTGATAATCTTTTTTTTATTATTTCTTATAGTCTCTGTAATGTTCCCCTCTCATCTGAGCTGTTAGCCTTGTTCACTTGGTTCATCGTTGGGGCTCCTTGACTGTCTCCTTCTCACATCCCTAGTCTCTGTTTCATTTGTGACTTGGTCCTCGTGGCGCAGGGCTTAACATTTTGGTGGATGTGATGGATTGACAGTCAGGGAGCCACGCCTCCTAATTCTGTTTCTTTTCTCTCTCTCTCACTCTCTCTCTCTTTCTCTCTCTCTGTCTTATTTTGGTAATGGTGATGGATTGACAGCAGGGGCAGCCCCACCTCCTAATTCCATCCTCTTCCTGCTCTGTATTCTCAGCTAGGCATGTCCAAACGATCCAGAGGAGTCTCATTGCTTAGCCGAATAATTGACATTCCCACTGCAGTCGCATATTGCTGGTTTAGAAGAAATTTTTGCTCCGGCTGTCAAATTTGGCCTTTTCAGCCAAGTGAGCCGAAGTGTTGCGGATAATCTATTGATTCCACCATCTCCTCCCCCCCAATTCCTGATTCTTTTGGTTCAAAATCAGATTCTAGCTTTGTTGTTTATTTGGGTTTCTTGTTTTCTTGTACATTCAGGTTTAAGAGATGTCAGCCAAGTTCCAGCACCTGTAGATAACACGCTTTTCTTCTTTTTCTTCCTCATGAATCGGTACTGGGTCATTTTACCAACTGCTGGATTCACTCAAGTTGCTCTTGCTTCTTGCTCCCCCTATATGTGGGGGTAAGAGTCGCTGGAAAAGCCTCTTCAGTTCTTCGGGTGGCACTTTTTGGGTTTTTTTTTTTTCCTTTTAATTAGAAGCATCTGGGAAATATGATGCAGCATGAAATTCTTTTCGGAGGTGGGGAGAAGGGGTGTATTGACACCGAAAACGGGCAATCGAACGATGTTGGCTCTGCATGCGTGGCTCAACTGGGGAACAGGGGAGAGGAGCTGGTCGATAGGGGCTTTGGATCGGTGCGGGGCTTAAAACCTGAGCGACTTACTGCTATCTTTGTTAGGGGTGACTTAACACTCATGCGGCTGACGGGTGCGGGGGGGGGGGGGGGGGGACTCAGAGTCTGGCACAGAAGATGCGAGTGAGATTTGTGTACAGTGGTCCCGAGGGTATATGAATAGAAGATCATCACAGTGGCTGTGAGTAAGAGCTACTTACTGCTACTTATGGGGTGTGCGAGTCAGAGATGGTTACAGCGAGTCAGTGACCATCCTGGGTGTGCAAGTCAGAGATGGTTACAGCGAGTCAGTGAACATCCTGGGTGTGCGAGTCAGAGATGGTTACAGAGAGTCAGAGACTATTATGGGGGTGCCAATCAGAGAGCAAAATCTAAAATTGAAGTATCCTTCCCCAATAAAACAACGAAACGTAAAACATGCAAATGAAAAACCTTATAACTTATTTTGATAACCAGAAAGAGTGTGTGATGAGAAGCGTTCTCAGACACAGGAAAACGGCGGCAGGGAGACTCATGGGGGAGGTTTCAGTGGCTATCAGTCTGTGCGTATATGAACCGTAGCACAAAATGTGGAAGATAGGGTTAGCAGGAGGATGATGGATGTGAGTCTTTGCAGCGTGAAGAATAATAAATGGTCAGGGAAGACTGTCATTAGCCTTCAGTAAAATTACATAGAAGAAGTGGTTCCTTGAATAAATAAATTTGGGTTTCATTAGTATTATTTTTTCTTGATGATCTCAGATCTTTGGACCAATGTCTTTCACAAGAAAAAATAATGAATATGTTGCCTGAAATTAGGAATATTCCATGTTATTTGCCTTGTTTGTACTGTTAAGAATTGCCTGCTGTATGTCTAAATATATATAATAAATAAATGCTGTACACGGTAAAAAAAGAAAAAGCTGTATTAGCTACACATCTGTAAGCGAGGTTTTATTTAGTTAACTGTCAAAGGTACCGATATCTTTTGTAGCAGCAACTGAGTTTGTTAGTAAAATTTGTGAGTCATACTAACATCCCTAGATCTGGTGGTAAGTGACATAAATTGGTTCCTTCCACATAACACATCCCAAATTAAATCATAGGTTAACCCTGTCTTCCATGTATGAGCTGAATTAGTATTTGCCGTTAATTAAATTGAGTTATTCTGAGCTGGTGTAGGCATCTTTGCTGGGCAGAATCCCGACTTTCCTCGCATCAAAGATGAAAGCGGGACAGAGAGATGCATTCGTGCTACATTTTGGATTTAACTCCACTGGTGAGACAGACTTACGTAAGTGATGTAATCAAAAAAAGTGAGAGAGTAATGGAATAAAAGTGTACGTTTCTTTCTATAGATATAGTCAAGCAGAGGTGGATAATTCAGATCCGCATAGTTAAAAATCCAGACCAAGATTTTGTTTCAACCAGCCAGTTTAGTACTCCATGACTGTGACTCTTTATACTCAACTGGTTGGTTGAAACAAAATCTTGGCCTGGATTTTTACATTGTGGACCTGAACTATCCACCTCTGGGCTCAAGCAAGAGTATGAAGTATTCCCTGTTAAAGCAACTCCTTAAAAAAAACTGTTGTTCAAAAAATTACATAAGTGTAACGGAGTAAGTGTAGTGTGTTACTACCCACCTCTGCTTATAGTGAGTCAGATACCATCACGGGTGCAAGTCAGAGTAACTTACAAGGGTGTGAGTCAAAGCCGCTTAGAGCAAATGAGAGGTCTTCGTGAGGCTGCGAGACAGACCACTTACTGCGATTCACAGGGTGATGTGCCCGTCAGGACTCCGGTCCGTGACGTCTGCATCTGGGTGGTCCTGGGTTTGGGGTGAGGTTTTGTCAGTATGCCCCGGCAGCTTGCTGATGGTGCTGATCCCTCCTCCCTCACGCATGCCCCCAACGCGGGGGAGGCTGGGTCATGCACACGACCCACTCCTGAATTGATTGTGCCGTAATCCGATGTAGGCTTTATTATCCCCGTCGATCTCGGAACATTGACACTGGGTTTGACTTGGGTGGGGGAGAGGATGTAAACAATTCGTTAAACGCTTCTTTCGTTAAACCGTCAAAGGACAGACTGTGAGAGAGCCATCAGACACGCCCCCCCCCCCCCCTATCCCTCCTCGTTAAGGTTGTTAAGGCTACGGAGGATCAGTGAGGGGGTGGGGCTTCCCTCCCTGCCGTGATCCCTCCCCCTCACAGTCCAGTTCACAGATGTAACTGGTTGCAGATGTTGAGCACGGTTGAGTAACAGCTCTACCTTCTGCCGTCCCGCGCAGACATTCCCCCAAACGTCGCTGAGCTGAAGAACCTGGAGGTGCTCAATGTCTTCAACAACCAGATCGAGGAGCTGCCCACCCAGCTGAGCAGCCTGCAGAAGCTCAAGCACCTCAACCTGGGGTGGGTCCTGCCCTCTGGCTGCCCTGCCCCCCCCTGCCTCAACACCAGCTTCCCCTCTCATCTCCATCCTATAAGCCCCCCTCCCTCCTCAACAGTGTCATCTCCAATTTTTCCTTTTCTCTCCACCTTTTTGCACCATCTAACCCTTTTCCCCCACTTCTCCTGACCTCCTTTGTCCATCGCTGCTTGTGGCCTCATATTCCTTGAATGTTCCCAGGGAGAGGCCAGGTTGGGGACAAGCCCCGTTACACACCAGTCATTCACTGAGAGTCGCTTACAGCACAGTGTGCTTGAAGGTTTGGAGACTAGGGTGAAATTCTGCTCATTCTTACTTATTGTTTATTAAGTTAGAGCAGAAAATGTGTTTTTGCTGAATCTCCATCAAACCAAGAGGGGGGGGGGGGTAGATTAAACTGTCCCACTTGATTGTCCAATCTCTGTGGGTCTGTGTGACATAATAAAGAGCCTGAAATCATCCATGTCAGCTTGTAGGACTCCAGAGCCTCAGGTTCGAGCCGCTCATATAAAAAGTTAGCAAGAAAGCCAGCAGGTTCCTCACCTGTCCGTCTGTTTCCCATATGCGCCCTTGGTGTGAGGCAGCCTCGAGACGGGGGGGTGGGCAGGGGCTGGGATTAGGGGGTGAATAATCTCCCGCAGTGTGGCTGGGCCACGTGCCGCCATCGATTTCCCGTCAGACGCTTCGGCCCGAGCTGCCGGTTCTGTGCGTAAAGCCCAGGCAGTGTATTCAGGGCCGCACTCTCCAGCTTGGATCCTCGGATCCCCCCCCCCC